TTTTGTTGAATTATTCATAATAAAACTTAACATAATGAAATAATCTCAAATACAATTAGATTATTAATTGTTATTATTTATTATTAATAACAATTTAAAAGTCACAATTTTGATACAGTGCGCTTGTCGAGATTTTGATATAGTCGGGATTATAGTTGTCGGGATTTCAAACATCGGGAATTCGATACAGTCGGCATTTCAAATGTCGGGATTTCAATAGACGGTATTTCGGTTGTCGGGCTTGCGAAAATTTATATATGTATATTATATAAATTGAATTGCGCGCGATTTAATTTTAAATTGTTCCCAACGCGATCCGTCAAATGGAAATTCCCGGTCAAATTCGAACGGTTGTCAGTGAGAGGGCGCTCGGCGTCGCGGTGTGCAGAATCCTTTAAAAAACACCTGCATTTTTTTTGCGTTGTTTACCCATTAGTAATCGCGCCTGGTGTTGTGCTTCGGCGCAGGCGTCGCCAGGTCTGTTCTCAGATTAGTTTTTTTTTTCTCTCGCTGTCAACGTTAATCCCATATCCATCCAGTTTAATCTTATTGTTTGTTGGAATACGCGATCGTCGGGGGGCGTAGGGTGATAGTGATAAACTAACAGACGGATCCAGGAAGGAAAGTGCATCGTTTAAAAAGGGGTGACGGGCGTCGCGACGACCATTCGAGTGTACTAAAAAAAAAGAAAAAGAAGAAAAAAAAAACTGTTCGACGGAAATCGCGATTAGAGGTGCCTTTAATTTCAATTACAAATTGCACTGTGCGTTCATTTATGTAAGTTTTGTCGCAGTGACATTTCAAGACGATCATCGTACAACTGTTGTTTTTTTTTTCATTGTACCACAAAAGTATGCTCCATTGACGGATTTGATGTGATTCAGTGACGAGTTTGCGTGTGCGTGTGCATTCAAGGTACGTGCATCCCGCGGGGAGTCCCCCCTCGTCTGCGTTTTAAGTTTATTTTTTATTTTTTGTTGTTTTCACTTGCCAAGTGGAAGTATTTTTAGAAATCTCGAATGTTCTATTGTTGCAAATTTAGGTTAAACTGTGCGTTTTCAGTTGCAGAAATGGCTGTCAAACATAAGTCCATTGAGTGCCGGGAGAAGGATGAGGTCTACTTGACCATCATAATAGGAGTGCTCAAGAGGATCGAGCAGCAGAAGTCAAGTCAACAGTGCCTGTTGAGCAAGGAGGCCAGACTCGAGGCGAAGCAATGCAAGAAGATTGTCTCAGACCTGGGGATGGTGGCCATCCCAACAACGCCGGAGGACTATGTGAGATTCATGACCCAGATAGCGATGATCCAGGAGTTCCTATTGAAATACTTTGTCGGTGATGAGTTGATCATATGCACACTGCAGGCATTCTACACTGAAATCTCAGATCCGCAAAAGCATCCTACACCAACAATGTCCATCGTGTTGAAACTGATTGACCCACAGAACATCCCGAAAGCAGTCAAGTGGATCCTGCAATCCAGTTATCCTGAGAGTGGTCTTGAGCAGGCTTTACACACACTCTGCACCTGGCTATCCAAATGGACCTGGACCCCAAACTTGGGACTGCTTGTGCTGGAATTCATGAAGGGTTTGGCTGCTGAGCAACATTACGAAATCCTTGTTGATATAACATTAACGCATATCGAGCGACTGTTCAAGATGCTAATACTGCCCGACCCCAGGACGAACGTCGGTCCCGTCGTCTTCCACATGTTGACGAGTATGCAGCACAACCCGAAGGCCTTCCACAAGATCATACCGCATATTGGAATGATTATGCGATACCTGTGTAACGAGAAGATGATCGATTCGAGCCGTTACTATTTAGAAAGCCTGTTCAATCTATCGATGGCGTTAATGGAGCATTTCCCCGGATACGCCTGCTACGAACAGCTTAAGCAGACCCTGAAGCCTTACGAGGGATTGACCGGTGACTACAAGCAGTTGCTGATGAACAGCAAAGCATGGTTGAACAAATCGCAGACTACTACACTATCTCAATACGCGCCCGGAAAAGTCGGTCTCAACAATCTGGGCAACACGTGTTACATGAACAGCGTTCTGCAAGCCTTATTTATGACGAAGCCCTTCCGGAACGATATCCTGGCGAAAAGCAAGGACGCGGTACCGTTATTCTTCAAACTCCAAAGTCTCTTCGCTCTGCTGCAGTTTTCTGAGAGGAGCTCACTGTCTCCGAGCGAAATCCTTACCGCTGCCAGACCACCGGGTTTCCAGATGGGCCAACAGCATGATAGTTCTGAGTTCTTGGGACACCTCCTGGATGTCCTTCATGAACAAGAGAGGCTGATCGGTAATTCCAATGAACATGATGATGCAACTACAAGTAAGGCCTTACAAAAAAAAATAAAACTTTTATGACTGATAGGAACTTATGAATCAGATATAGCAGTATATATTTATCACATATTGCAATTCAAAACAATGTACAGTGTTTACATTAGAGCTGTTTGAATAGTATTGATAACAAAACATTTGCTATGTTTGTTGATAATATATTTATATTATTTTAGCAATTGTAAAAGACATAACTTTTTCCCAAACTTTACTCATTACTATTTCTGAATGTAATGTTGCAGTATTATATTTATCTTCCAACTAAGTCATTCTGTTTATTTTCAAATATTCTCAATATACACCCATGCCAAACTTGGTCTTCTTTTGTCCACGTTTTCAGACGAAACGTAAATGGAATTCCTCCCAAATTAAAAATATCTATTTTAATCTCGAATGTATGGGTATAATAAATTGCAATTCATCATTTTTGAAATTAATGAAGTTACATTTTATAAATGTACAATGTAAATTTATAATAATAATAGAATAGAAGAAAATATTGAATATGAATAGAGCTATTATTATCCAATACTTTTATTTATCCATAAAGTGAGCAACGAACGTAAAAAGAAAGGACGTTGTTGAATAGTGAAATTAATTAGAATATTATCAGTAGAAATATCGTTTCTTTTCTTTAATAATCATGTTTATTGCATCAGTCGTACAAAAGAACAAAATAAATATATATAATTTCCAAAGAAGTTAACTGATACTAAGGCCTTTTTCTTTATTTTTGCTTAATACTCCTGTTTGTGACATCTCATTTTAATTTGCGATTCGATTAAAACGTCAGCTGCAATTCATTTTATCAGTTTGTACCGAACCGGTGATTTCATTCATGCGTTTCTTTTGAATCTCTTCACGGTTATAATAAATGCGAGTGGCCTTTTCGTTTTTTTATTTTATTATTTACTTTTCATTGTTATCAAACAGTCGGTTATCTTTTATTAGGAATGCGCTCGATTGCAAAATTGGTTCTGCGTTCACATAATGCAGTCGGTTATCGCAGTATTATATTTTATTTTTGGATGGGCAAGAGTTTCAATTCTCAGTAGTATTATGATTATAGTTTTGTTTTGTTTTGTTCTAAGTATGCTTCTTTTGTTTCAGGTGGTTCGAATATCACAACGGTAGTGAAGAAATCGTTTGGCGGAAAGACATTAACAATGTCGCAGTGTAATAACTGTGGAGCTCGCAGTGAACGGATGGACACCTTTAGGGATTTGCAGCTGTCTTTCCCTAGTGACGCCGACAATCAGTCCGTGCAGACGCTTATGGATTATTACCTGCAGAAAGAGAAGCTATGCGATGATAACCAGTATCATTGCGACGAATGCTGCGGGCTCACCGACGGTGAGCGTATCACCAGGATCATCGAACCACCACCAAGGTTGGTGTTAACCTTGAAGCACTTCAGCTACGACCCCAAGACGCAGGCTCGCACGAAGATCTTAAAGAGGGTACAGCTGGACGACAACGTCTACGTGGACAGCAACGAGTACAAGCTATACGCGGCCGTCGTTCATTGCGGTTCCAGCGTCGATTCAGGACATTACTACACGTACGCAAAGGACTGCGAGGACTGGTATAAATTCAACGATTGCTTCGTAATGAAGAGCAAGGCGGAGGAACTTTGCGGTCTGCGGAGTCCTGAGGCACCTTACATTCTGTTCTACAGTCGCGTCGACTGTAGCGATCCTGAGCCGATGGGAAAGTGCGATCTATCGTCCAGATTGCAGTCCGTTCTCAGCAGGGACTACGCAGATCTCGATGCCGAGAAGAAGAAACCGAAGCTGAGCATCAGCGCGCCGCCACGACCCAACAACAAAGACGACTACGACCCTCCGCCTCCTGGCTGCGGGGGAGGCGGTTTTATGGACTCCACGCAGAACAGATTCGTATGCTAATAAAGAAATTTTGTATGTATCATATATAGGAACGGTTATTTAATATTTTGTTGTATTTTAAATCATGTATTAATTTAAATATAACATTGTTACTTGTAAATATGTACACATTTATTCTTCCTTATTATTATTATTATTATTAATATTATAACTACTATTAAATAATGAATGGATTAGTTTATTATTAATGAAACATTGTGATGTAACATATTTAATGATTAAACAAAACTTTAAAAATATAATAACTACAAACAAAAAAACATAAAATAAGACGAGCAAACTGGAAATATTTATAAAATAAAAATTGGTACTATAAAACGTAATATATATGTGTGTGTGTTAATTTCTTTACAATATTTACAGGTTTACTGGTAATATATGTACATTATGCAAATATTTTGTGTATAAGGCACATCAACTTCGGATACACACGCCACGTTCCTTTCTCAAACATACACAAAATATTTTCGTATTGCCTTCACTAACATTCATATAATTTATTATTTATTTATATATATATATATTTCAATTTAAATCTATTAAATATAATAATGACGATTATTATTGACATCAATGGTACTAACAGTTGACTAGATCGCATTTACGTAGCAAGTCGCAAATAATCTTGGATGAATCATACAACACGAGAATCCTTTGCAGCTTGCCAATTTACGAACAAAAAATGAGGAAACGAGTTACGAGTTTACCCTGGCACAGTTAAATAGTATATTAGTCAGCTGACGAAGCTAGAATTCCATGATTTTCAAGTGTTTGTCTATTTAATGGATGAATAAGTAGCAGTAATCTATTTTGATTACTGTAACTTTGCAAAGAAAACTTATTATAGCTAAACAATAAATCAAATGCTTTGAGTTGAGATTAATGTTGTATATAAAATGTATTTCTGTTTGATAATGTGAAAAATATAATTCGGGTTTTGTACAATGTATGAATGTTATTTTTATGCCCGGCGAATCCACTATACAGTTATACACTTGAGCGACTCTTGCGGAATTGTAGATTCACCAGTGCCTAATAATCGGGTGTTTAGTACATCGTTGAACATTGCGGAACGTTTATTTGCACACCCATTTGAGCATATTCGACAGCCGAACGTAATTCTGTTTAATTAATAACTCAGACGCGGTTCCACGGCCGAATGGAGAGCGCACATTACAATTTGCATGTTCAGCAACGTAACTGATGACCATCGAAAGAGGGTAATTTGTAAAGTTGATACACGACAATCATTGCGTTTGATTGCACCTAATCTTTATTCTCCGTGATTGGGTTCAACGTTTCTATGAGGGGAGCGGTGTCCGCATTGTTCTTGGCCTTCACTTCTATACTCCAAGGTTCCAAGAGTGTCCTTCCGTTGTGCGTGGGACTTTCGTGATCCGGGAATTTTACCGATTTCCTTGGTCCTTTCGGAATAATATTTGGCGATTGTTCGTCAGTTCCCATCGAGGTATGAGGTCCTGTACCCGTCGGACTCTGAGTAGGAGAAGCCCTCGTCTCGTTGAAGGTCGCCGCTCTTCGAAGGAAACTCGTCGCCGTCGGCTGCGTACTGTAATGGACGTTCGGCACCTAAAAAAAAACAATTAAGAAAACCATTCATCATCATCTCCTAGCGACAATATTAACCACTCTTAAATCGTCGTTCGCCCTTCCTCTGCCAGCCCTCAGCTCCTGATATTGCGAGACTACGCAAAGCAGACAATAGATCTGAGAAGAAAGAAACGAACAGATTAAATTCCAACTTTCAATAGAAATATCACACGCTCAAGAAAAGCACGAAGTAGATATAATTGGTAGCATGTTTATTTGTTTTCTTTCTTTCTTTCCTAGGCAACGAAACGATTAATTTGAGTACATCCTTGGATATCTCTGCGAGCTTGTTTAACTTCATTCCCAAGTTCGGAATCCGAGCGAACCCTGGGAATAATTGGTCAGAATTCCTAGTAGTTATTTGTTTCGGCCCGAATTACATTGTCTACGAGCAAAATGAAACAGATTAATTAAAACCGGCTCAAACTTAATCTTAGCAATGGACGTGTCCAGCGTATGAACTTCCCTCCGACAGTTTACTTTTATCTACCATCCGGAACTTTCTCATTTGAAAACTGCGAATTTTAACTAATACTTTAATACTATTAAAATACTTTTGAATAATTGAAACAGTTTTTTTTTGTTTGTTATGTGTAATTCAATTTCAATTTTAAAATTCTTTATTCAGTGTAGATGCATATGATGTTATTATTAAGGGGTGGCGTACATGTGAGCTTGAGCTCATCTAGCCAGAAACATGATGGGTTATTTAATGGCACAAAAAAAAAGTTTTACAGTTAAGGGTTTTTTTTCAATAATTTAACAATAATGATGTGGATTTACAGACAATGGTTTTTAGCAATGACAATGTTATGTGTATGCATTTTTATATAGTAGTAAGCTATGAATGAATTGTTACGAAATTACTATGACAACCTGAAACAATGTTTACTTTTGAAATGTGTCGTTTGCAGTTGTGAGATATGCGCGTGTGTAAAGTGAATAATACTTACGTTGATGATGATTAGGAAAAAGTCGAGTGTGAACAGAATCGAGCTCATGGGATTAACTTGAAGCTGAAAATGAAAAACAAATATTTGCGCGAATGAAAGCCTCCACAAAGTGTTCAGAACCGCGCGCTTCACTCACGGTATTTATAATGAACACGTAAATGCAGTTCGATATATCAACGCCTAGGTACGAGACGATCGTCACCATCCACGGTATCAGCAGGATCCTATTGTTCTGCAAAAACAAATGGACTTAATGTAAGTGCCATATTTCAAACGGGAATTTTGTCCTTTCTTGTGCAAAGCTGTTATCTTACTTACCCAATACAACCCGGCGAGCAGAGCGAAAGAGGACAGAACACCCAACGACGAAACGCAGATTAATAACAGCGTAAAGATGAGCGACGCTAGAACGATTAAGTAATAGTAAAAACAAAATCCGTAACGACAGGAGGTGACTTGATGTTTGTTTGTTTTTTTTGGACTCACTCTCTGACGTGTTGTCCGGATCTATGATGCTGAGATGCTCCCTCTCGGTACTATTGCTCCGCAAATAGAGCAATTCTTCGGTTAATAGAGGCACCATTAATGCGATCGTGAGTAGAAAATACGCCTGCAACAGAAACCATCCAGATTCAGACGGCCGGAAACTTTGAACGACATAGTCCTGCTATCCTCATTCTCCTCTACCTCCCATTCACAGTTTGTGTCGACGATTTTAATTTACAGCGGTATTTGCGCGCGAATTCCCTTTTATTTAGATGGCAGTTTTACAGTTTCATTTTTAAACGCGACGAAAACAGTAGCGCCTGAAAACATAGTTTTCCTTTACTTCCGCAACGACCGTGACACAATTTAATTAACTGCATCCCGCACATTTTTACAGTAAAAGTACTGAATTACAGCTGCAATCAAAACTCGATAGAAAATAACGGATTTAGAATTATAGTTGTATGCTTCCACATTGAACGTGACTTGATCAATAAATATTTGCAGTTCAGTTTCAGAAGGTTGACAAAAAAAATCAGATTTAAACTTTAACACAAGTTATTTTTTCTAAATACCTTGGAATGTAGACTCTTTTAATTGAAATTTTAATTGAATGTGAACACAAAACGGATCGGTTTTCAAGATTGATTTCCCTAAATTATTGATGTTGCTAAGTATGATAACGTTTTTGTCCAATAACTCACGTTAAGTTTGTTCGTATGCCTTGGAATGTAGACTCTTTTAATTGAAATTTTAATTGAATGTGAACACAAAACGTATCGATTTTCAAGATTGATTTCCTTAAATTATTGATGTTGCTAAGTATGATAACGCTTTTGTCCAATAACTCACGTTAAGTTTGTCCGTATGTCGCAAATATCAAGCTAATAAAGGAAGTAATTTCGCAATTTCCACGCCGAATTGCTTTCATTAAAAAGCGGACAGCAGGGACATATTTCCTCTGGCTGAGTTTTCAGGCTGAAATCCCAAAATGTAGTGTATGGGAGTCTGGCAGGTGGTCGGGAAAACTAGTTACGTTCGGGAAAGCCTAATCCCAAACACGTATCCTCGCTGTGCGAAACGATGAAATAATTTATTACAGGACTCGACCGTAATTTGGCTCTCGTTTTGTATAACACTAATACCTTTATGCTGCAGCAATTATTATATATAATATAATAACATATTTATTTAGTTAATTAATTAAAATTGTTTAATTGATAAAAGTGAGTTTGCTTGTCATTTAAAAAAGGAGGTTTTTTTTTAAATATTTCATCATTTCATTAAAAAATAACTGTTGTTGTTTTAGTGTAAATAACTGTTTTGATTAAATTAATGAAACCAGCTGGAATACGATTATATTCAATGTAAAAACAAAAAAGTATTTACATAAACTTTGATGAATGAATGAATTCACCTGTGCATCAAATAGGATAAAATGCGATCAAATCGAGGGTGCATGGAACGTAAATGGACACCACTCGGGAATCCCGTATTCTTCCATTACAGTAATTTTTTAATCGCTTCCATTCGGCCTGCAGGCATCCACCTGGATCACCAACAACAACGGAATTGCTCTCGTTGCTCTCAATCCCAATCCCACGTTCCTTTTCTCCAACCAACACGTGTTTCGCTTAATGAATTTCCACCAGGATGAATAAAAAAAATATATACGCTACACGTAATTTCGTGCAACAAAAGGGCACGAGCAAAAAAAAAATCGGAAGTAGAGCGGCGGCGGACGGAAACTTTTGAGAGAGAGAAAGCAAAAAAAGAGTGTATATCGAAACTTGTCCCTTTGTTTATTATTTTGCGTTTCTTTCATTCGCCTGAAAAGTGGATGAAAGTTATTCCACGCACTTTCATCTGAATCTATTCAAAGGACCGGACAAAAGAAAATACGCGTCGCGGGTGTTTTCATCTTTTTGGCGCTATACAAAAAAAAGGGGGGAAAGAAAACTGAGCATGAAAACGAGTCCTTTTCATTGATGAATTTTCACTTTCTACAGTATGATTGATTGCCACAAAAAGTTTCTTTTATGTTATTCCAAAAACTTATATATTTGCATTTCGTTATGTTGATGTTAGAAGATATTTTTTATTGTAATTAAAAATAAGTTTAATTATTACATATAGTTGTAAAAAAAAAAGATTCTTCACATACAAATTAATTGGACTTTTATTAATTTTGTTATGAGGTTAACGTTGAGTTAGTGTAGAACGTTGCTTGAATCAAAGTGTATATACAATTACTGTCGGATTAATTGAGCAATCAGACGGTGTGCAAATATGTTTGGAATATCCTTGATCAATTAGAAAATTACGTTAAGCGTAATCGCGATTAAAACAAGTCTGAAACAAAGTTAATTACTTGATCTGGAAGCTGTTAATCTGTTGATCTCTAATTAAAAACTTGTACTTCATACGTCCTCCGTGTGTTAGGGTTTAATTACATTTCCGTTTATCATGCATTTTGTTAATTAAACCAAATATTTAGCGAAATCGCTTGCATAATCAATTTAAGTTGCATTTTCACTAATAAGTTAGCTTTTTGGGACAGTTTGGGCAAAGTTTAAAGAGAGATTGACGTGATTATTGCAAATTCTATTTTGCAGAGAGGACGACGTACACAGGGACAATCGATTGTTTTCGGGAACGTCCCGTCAATTTGCCAGTGTGCATCCCGGCAAAGTAATTGGTTTTGCAGTAACCGAACTCTGAAAGTCGCTGGAAATTGAATGCAAGAAGGGAGGAAGCCTGAGTGAAATCGCATCGGAAAGTCCATAATTAATGTCACGGAAAATCAATCTATACCTGGGTTACAGTTTCATTAAAGTACACACGACCTTAAGTGCACGTAAAGTGTTATCAAAGTTTCTCATGGTTTTACATATAATCTGCTGTTCTCTCATAATCTGTTTTTCATAAAACATAGTATAACAATTTTTTTCTATATACTATTTATTCATGTATATAATTTACTGTAAATATCGATTGATTTACGGTCTGCAGTTTCACATTGCCAAAACGTGATGCCCATCGAAATGTTATGTTCGCATCCAATTTTATGTTTTCATGTAATTGAAGTGGAAATGAAAGATATAAATAGAGTTGCACGACTGCTGGAATTGAAAGGGCGGCGATGAAATTTATAATTCATCCAAGTTTTAATTGAATCCACTTCATTCTTATGCAAAGAAACATATTTTGTTTTATTCCTTTCTCCTTCACTGCGAATGTCAATATTTCCGAGCGGATCTGCTTCCTCGCTCGAAAACATCAAATTTTATACAGTCTTTTTATTTATTTATATACTGCATTTTATTGTTTACAAATGTATTTCAACTTTATTGAGCAATATAAAATTTTGCTAATTTTAATTTAACTTTTCTATAAATATTCAACATCGTTGACAGAAATAATATAATCATTAAATTAGTTACTATTACATATATAAACTTGATATTTTGTTATAACTCTCTTCTTGACAACTTGTCTTTGCTTTTGAAAGGGGAGGTGAAAGTTCCAGCCATGAAAGAAACAGGTGAATCCATCGAAATGTAGACGTGATTTAATTAATGATTAAACTCGCTTACCTAGATGATAATACACGCTGTATCCATTTAACGGTGAACCTAAGCAATGCTGGAACTTTAAACTACATCTCGACAACTTGTCACTACATTGAGTCTATTTTTTAAGGACAAGAAAATCGGTACAAACGAATCAATTTTGAAACCTTAAAGTGAATTAAAAACGAAATAGTTGTAGGAATACTAACGAATCTTTAGATTTTTAAAAAAAAAATAATTTGCAATTATAAAATGTAAACTGACATGAAAGTTAAAGAAAATAGTAACGATTAATCAAAATATTTTAAATATCTGCATTTATTAAAAAAAAGTGTTAAAGTTGGTGTTGTGATGACCAACAGGTCAAGTACATTTCCTGTGAGGTTATTCCATGTGGAAAACGATGATTACTAACTTGCGTAATAATATCCTAATCAGCTTTGCTTGCCGTTTTGATTAAATCGAATGCGATTGTAGAGCGAATGCGTTTTAATCATACGTGAATCCAATTATTGCCCTCCAGATGAAAGCAAACACAATAACATCAATTTCTGATCAAGTGCATTTCAGTTAATAGTAAATTGTAATCGAAATATTTTAAAAATACTCAATCAAATTTCAATTAAGTGCAACGTTAATTACAATTGTTTTGTAATGTAAATGAAAAAATTAATAATATATGAATATGATTTTATGTTATATAAATGTATTTACTTGTTTGAAAGGAAAATGAAAAGGAAGCCCATTGTTTTGATGTATTTAGAGTCGCACTAGTAAATCTGAAATGGTGCCGACGTATATCGCAATTGCATTTATGTATTTGCCGTAAAAATAACCGATCGTAAATAAAGCCATCAACTCGGAATGCACTATAAAATTTTGTTTAACTTTTCTCGCCGCAATTTCATCGAGTTTTCACAATTTTTTTTTTATTGCACGCGACGTCGCTTATTTTTAGATGAAATTTTTATGAGTATCGTCCAATAAAATTAACCGATTCGTTTGAAATAATATTCAGATTTCTTTTGTAGTTTAAATTTTAAAATTTTGTTGAAATTTCAATTAATTTATTAAAACATATTACTTCATCGTTTTTCTAGCAAATGACGTTTATTTGTTTGTGAATCTTGTGTATTTATGATATTTGTGTATTTATAAATATTTAGTGTTTGAAAAATAATTGCATTTCTGGATATCAGGAATTGTACTAAATAAAATAGCAAAGTCATCGCAAAGTTTAATCACTGATTATATTGTCAAAGGGAAAAAATCAACATGCGAAGTTGAGACAAATTTAACTTGTGAAAAATCATTATCTTCAGGACATAGATCTGATATGTTGACTATCTCTTCTAATGATGAAAGTGATTTCGAACCAGTTCGAAAATTATGCCAAACACTCTCAAATAGTAACGATAATTGTAAAGAAAAAAATGTGAAAAAAGATTAACTTTCATAAAAATTTTCTGTATTTTTTTTGTAAAATTTTTCCGTATAAATTTAGAAAGAATATAATAAGATTATATTTTTCTGAAATTTAATAAACTTGTCTATGATTGTTAATAAAATTATGAATAAACATTTCAGAAA